TGTGCCAGGACTTGCAAATCTAAATTTTACTTGAACATCTGGACTTGAATCAAATTCGAACAACAAAGGATTTGTCGCATTCAAAGTGGCTCATCTACGAGCGACAAAAGAATCCAACATGTAATGGGCTAGCAATAAAGGTGTATTCGAAGAATCCAAAGCAAATGCAGTCTTTGCACAATCAATATCATTTGATTGTAAGTGAGTGCCCCGCTCTCCTACAAGACATATGATGAATCAAGATACAAGCAAGCACACTACAAGATCTTAATGTGTACAAACAAAGAACGTAGTGGACCCTTACAACCGTCTCCACGAGATCAGGTGTAATGTGTTTATAAGGACAACAAATGATTACAAAATGCATGAGTGTTCTCTACACGCATTATTGAAACCTCCAATGCTAGCAACATTGCATGTTGATTGAAGAAGGCAACACTACTACTTGATAGTGAAAGATCCGTCCCCACAAACAGGTGCAATCAAGACCCACCTGAGATTGGTGAAAGGTGGATATGATGTAGAAATAATGGCTCTCCTACGAACATTTCTAGGAGGTCGTAGTGGATACAACAGTTCCATGCAAATGAATACTTGTGGATAACAATAGTGGATACATCGTAGATATAATGAACCACTGTGGGCACAAGTACAAATTTCACCTATAACAACGGTGATCAAGATCTTCAAGTACGTCAGGTACAAGGGCAACCCGATGTATAGAAAAGGACACCTGGCAAAATGGTGAAGATGTTTGAGCAAATTAGAACTAAACTTCTTGGTGTTCCAAATTTTTTCTTAGTTCTATACTTAAGAAGAAACAGTTCTGATGTTTACAAACACTGGAAGTAACAAGTCTACTATGCTAAAGAGCTTGAAAAGAGTTTATTTCAAAGCTACGGTCACAAATTTCAAGAAAGACCTCCCAGTGAACGAGAAAAGGGGAGTCAACATCAAGATGAGGAGATGCCTCATGACGTCCAAATAATACCGCCACCGGATCCGCAACACTTGTATTAGCGGACAGAAGGCGTGTATAAGCTCTCAAATGAAATGTTGTGCGTTCAAATGGCTATTACCTGCTCAACTAAAATATTTTAAAGTACTCCTACACGTCACCATAATTTGTATACACAAAGGTACACTAAAGGGGTAAATGCAATAACGACCCGCATGGGCCCCAACGAGTGTGTTATCGGTGACGCCTAGGGATGTTGCGCGGGTTGATAAGTGAATTCAAGTTTGAACCTGATCCTTCTATGCAGATCAATAGGAGTCGACAGGGATCGAACCTTCAAAAAATATACGGTTGTGGCGACCGGTGTATTTGTTTTAATACATTCATATTAGACCTTCAAGGCCTATAATCAAAGAAAATTCACAAACAAAGGCATGAAGCCTGAGAAATTCGATCCTCTGTTGACAGCTCAACAGAGTTGACAAGATTCATTCACAAAATAGAAATATTTTCAAGTGAAAATGCCCTCAAACACCCCGATGATAACCGTGTTGAATGAAGATCTCAACCGGAGGGGTTCACAAACACTCTCAAGTGTCTCCCAAATTTCCAAATGCCCATCAAAATCTAGAACTCCACAAAGTTCAAAATCCTAAAATTCCAGAAAAATTTCAAAATCCAGATATTTAAAATTGAAATAATCCATCGAACCACTCAAAACAAAATCTATCCATCCTCCGCAACAGCTTGCCGTGGTGGACAAATTAAAATATACTTCAGCTCACAAAGAACCAAATACCTAACCGAAAATATCATTAGGATTCATTCTCAAACCAATCTCCTACCTATAAGGACGTGGTACGTGTCTTCTAACCAACGGTTTTGCTGCCAAATGGCACCGCAGGATAAACCGATAAACGGTTATGACCCGGGTAATGTTTAAAATTGCATATTCGGGTATTGAGGCGTTTTTCATTCGTGAGGCGAGGCGTAAGCCTCAAGGCGTTTTGAGGCGTAAGCCTCAAAATCAAAAGATTGTGTAAACATAAAATGATAAATTTTTTATATACTAATGAGTGAATAATATAAAAAATAAAAAAGTATAAGATATGAAGTGAAATCAAAATATCCCAATAATAAGATAACATAAAATATTGTTCAACTCAAAATTCTATCTTTCCCAAATCCCAGTATTCTTTTCATTAAAATATAATTTTAATTTCCAAAAATAAATAGTAATGACATATCACATAAGAACTCATAAGTCATCAGCATTGTCATCACTAAGGGGTTCTTCATTTGAATCATCATTATGATGAACCGCTCTCTCCCCTTCCTCCTCTCCTATAGAGTCCAATGTCGGGCATTTACTTCAAGATTTATGTAAGTTTTAATATATATAGTGTGAGGCGTAAGCCTCATGCCAGTGAGGCGAGGCGGGCCTCAACTAAGTTGAGGTGCAAGCCTCATAAAAAACCTCGAGGCGTAAGCATCGAGGCATTTTTTACTAGAATTGCGCAAAGGCGGGCCTCAAGGAAAGCCTCATATTGCGCAATTTTAAACCATGGACCCGGGGCCCTCTGAACCGAGTGGTTTTGCTGCCAAATGGCATCATGAAATATTGGTTATGGCCAGAGCTAATACGCTCATTAGTGGCATCAAATCCTTGAGATATCAATCAATAGGATATGATCGATAGGGCACAAATCTCTCTGTTAGCTAAGGTGGTTTTAAATTTGTCCCTTTAGACAAGCGTTCACCCTAGGTCTACAAGGTCCCCTTAGACGAAGCAACCCCTGGCTTTCGACAAGGATCCTTCTGTCAGGTTGGGTCGACTACCTCCTCTGACTAAGTAGATCAAGGACCACGATGGCCCGGGACGATGGAACCATGGGATCTTGATCGAGTCCATCATTCATTCCCCCACCATCTGTTTTAAGTACATGATGGTGAAATTTCTATTTTAAATATCAAATCTTCCAACCCAAATTCCAAATCTAAACCCAACTCTTCAATATCCAAGCCCATGCTACTACTATATGCCTGATACTACGTATTTATGTATACAACATATCTGATTGACAACTAGCCTTAATCGAAAGTTCTCTCTCATTATCGGGAGGGGTAATTAACTATAGGGGCTTGCGCCTATAGGAAACCATAACGCAGATCTTAAAATCCTCGCAAAATGAGGGTGAAATCTCTGGGTTGTGTCTTATCTACAAACCCATCTGCCTTCCAAAATTTACTCCGGAACCTAATTCGTTTAAACTTCCTCGCCAGAAAGGAAAAAAAAAAAGAAAAGCAAAACAGTAGTGGGCGGAGGCTGGGGTCGAATTTTCGGAGCCCACACAAACTTGGCTAGGAGGGGAAGGGGAAGGCAACCGGTATGGTTGGCAGGTGCTTGGACAGAGCAGAAAAAGTAGTTGTCTCATGGGCTTGGGGGTGTGTGTTAGGGTATTTGGGTAATGTTTATTAATATAGTAATATTTAAATATGATTTATAAAACTTAGAGTCACACACGTCAAGTTATGAGGTGAGGTGTGCCTCACAATATGTGAGCATTCACCTCAGCTGAACTTTAGGAGGCATGTGCCTTAATGCATTTTGAGTCCAAATTGCATTAAGGTGTACTTATTGAGATGAATCAATTAAACATGTTGAACGTGCAACTTGATGAATTATCTACTGATATTTCATATGATGAGTGATCAAACTAAAGTTGATTTTGTTTTTAATATTTAATAAAAAATGCCTTAAAATTTTTTGAAGTTTAAAACTCCAACCGCTTGATTAATTCTAAAGTTGCGTAATTTATTAGAACTATTTAAGTCATTAGGTTAGTTTTCTTTAGCAATCATATCTGTCCATATATATATATAGTATTATTGTGTGTGATTTGTTTTATTTTAATTTTTTTAATTAGCTTATTTTTAGGAGTTTAATATTGCTCTTTATTATTATCATTGGAATGAAAGTTAGCGTATTGGTATGTTTCATTTCTTGCTTTATATAATATTAGTCACTTGTATGATTTGTCTAATTTGTTTGAAGATATGTATAAATAGTAATTGTTAATTATGACAATTATAAATATACTATTAATAGGAACAAGTAGTATTTGCAATTTAAACCTGATGACATAATGCTATGGATGAAATCTTAAATGTTTGTACTACAGGTTTTTATGAAAATAAAAATGAGAAAGGCAGGCCATTTAAAATCTTTTTACACAGTATGATAAACTATAAAGATATTCTAATAAGTCCAGGAGTTATTCTAGTCTTTAGTGTACTCGACTAGACTTTATTTCATATGTCTACAGTTACTGTCTTGAATCCCTCTCTATTTCCATCTCATCCTTGTTTATTCACTTACAAAATCATGCTAGAGTTTATGAATTTTGTTTTTAAAACTATCTTAGAGGATTAAATTGTGTCCAGTATTGTTATTGGATTATGGAGTTATTTGTATACTAGCATGATAGGCACATGTGTGATAGTTCATAGATTGCATTGCATCAATTGTTTAACTAGTCGAAGTTGAGTTTTTTTCATGCCAATTAGAATAATGTGAAATATACTTATCGTTATCCTTGGCCAATTAGAATAATGTGTTTACCATTGTTATTTTTATTGTGGATGATTGAGACTTGAGACTGTTCCGTCTCTTTTGTATTGCGGGATTTCTATTGTGGATGACCGAGACTTGTAACTCTTTTTTGTTTATAATCTATGTAAAGTGATCAAAACTGGGGTCAACTTTTGAGAATTGTTTTTCTGTTTATAAATTGTAAGCCTAAGACTCTTAATGACAATTTAGTTTTCTATTTAACCTTGGCTTATTTGGATTTTCTTGATGAAAATTTCAAATTTAGTAGTTCGGAGAGAATCCTATAAATGTATTTGCCTTGAATGATTGCTTAGAATTGAATGAACCTTTGTGGATTACAATTTCGTTTATGCTCATCATCGTTTTAAGAATAATTATAATGATTTTTTTTGTGAAACTTATTTTTTTGTAGATTTTCAATTTTTGTAGGTGCCATAACCGGAGCTATAACTACCCCATTAGATGTGCTGAAAACTAGGTTGATGACACAGGTAAGTTCATTATCTTCTTTTCTAGAACTCTGGATTAGGAAGTAATATGGTTAGTTTTGAATTGGTTGTAGGGTTCAATAAAACATTACGGCGGACTTCTTAGCTGCACCAATACGATTATCAAGGAAGAGGGTCTAGCTGCTCTTTAAGGGCATGATGAATCAAGAATTAGCTTACAGGGAGGTCAGGCCCAATGGAAGTTCACGTCATTATGATAGTGAGAAGCTAGTGAATGACATAGCAAGCAAGAAGGTCACTTGGAAGAATTATGTGATATTTCGAGCATTCTTTTAGAGGGTAGCACCATCCTTTCAAGCTAGAAGAAAAAATTGACATCCCCACTTTTGAATATTCTTTTTTACTCTGGAAAGCTTGACATATGGATGGATAAACTAGTAGCCTTTTCACTAAACCTTTTAGTTTACTAAATGCATATAATATTTATCTTCCTATAAATCATAATATCTATTAATTCTATTGATTTTCATGTAAAAAAAAAATATATATATATATTCTTAGTTCCTATTCTAATTTTAATTTTATAGAATGACTTCTTTACCTACATCTGACCATATTGTGAGAACCCTTGCTTATTTGACACAACACTTGGGTGCCGGTGCAGCGTCTCTTGCACACTTCTCACTGTATTCAATTATACAGTGTATCGGTTCCATGGAACGTCCTAGCATTAACACAGTGAATTAAAAGATTCATGTCATGATTATTCGATAAGTTTATGCTGGCTGTCAACAATCTAACACAACCCTCCATTTTTCTCATCCAGGATTTGAGACCGGACAATGCTAGTTTTTAAATAAATATCTTCTTATATAAATTAATTTTAACTTAGAAATTTTAATTCGAAAGTTTCTCATCCCCAGTTAAAAGGGCTTTCATAGAATTGCCATCATAGTTGGTTTTTTTGTCGCCTCTCATATCCTCATTTGCATCAACTTCCACCTAATATTTTTCATCATTTACTATGTCAATCACCTTTCACCTTCCTAATCAACTAAATCTAATAAGAATATTATTTAAAACAATGATTATAATGACCTTTTGGAATTTATGTTCCATAAAATTTTATACTAATCTTGTTGGTTACTTTATTGATGACTTTTGTTGTTCCTAAACATTTATAAAAAAATTCAATAATGAGATCTTATGTAGTTTTGATAGTAAAACTCTTTTTTCATCATCCACAAATTAATAGTCGTCATCTATAACATATCCTTCATAACCAAGGCATCTTCATACTCGTTCAAAATTTTCTTTTTTCAGATGAAACTCCTGATATATATGTCAAAAATTTCCGGAGGCGTAAGCTTCTTTTCCCTGCATTAAGCTATAGCCTAAAGGTGCTTGGCTGCAAGGAATATAATTTAAAACATTGCAACGCAGCATAGACTTCTTTTTTTGTGTTTGCATGATTCTTCTATCAATAAAATATTAGTTTCTTGGAAGTTTGATGTGTTTATCAGATCATTCTATGGTCTCTAGCGGTTGTTTTACATCAGGTTGTGGAATTAAGACTCATATTAGAAAAGGCAAATAACTATAAAAGTTTTTCTTACATGTTATTCATTTTAATACACTAGTTTGTTTAATGACGGTAGATTTGAGATTTGCGTAAAGGCAGGTGTGGATCAAATTTTAAGTGGCGTTTTCTTTTTGTAACTTGGAGGTTTACTCGTTCTAGATATAGATATATACTCTCCAATTTTGTTAGGTTAAGATTGCAATACGTGAACGCCTCAGAACATCTCAGAACCTGTATTGACAGGATCTCCTTACAGTAAAGTAGATCCCCTATTTCTGCTTTCTAGGCCTGTTTTTCATGACTTCCGGAATGGCTCAGCCTGCAACATCAAAGCATACATTCCTTTAGGCTGCGTGATAATGCTTGTCATCTAAATTCTCGCTCACCTGTTTTCCAGGGTATAGGCCCTAGAGTATTGTGGATTGGAATCGGCGGTTCAATCTTTTTTGGTGTTCTGGAGAAGACAAAGGCATTGCTTGCGCATCAAAATTCCTCCATAGATATAAAATCTGATTCTTTGAAGCAACAATAATTCAAAAATTTTAGTCATTCAGTTGCTGCTTGGATCCGACAGTTCGCTTCTTTTCTTCCCGATGATGGTTATCTTGATATCAGAGGTTTCTCTTGGCAAATATTATGGCATTTCAAGTTATTGATTCCAAATTTTTATTTTGTACTTTACTCTGTTAAGCGAGATCATCAGGTTTGTTTCATTATTCTGCATTGGGATTTATAGGCTTGAGTTTGTTTATGGCACAGTTAAAATTTAGTTATCAGTGGGCATTTTTTAAGCATGCTTTTTTCTGCTTGTTGTGGTTTGCGTGTATGCTAATAGTGCAGCTGGTCTGGTTTTTTGTTCGCTTATAAAATTAGTAGTGGAAGTTCAAGTTATTGATCCCAGCTTTAATATGGTACTTATCTTGAGATCCTCTGTTTGAAATTTCATGGGCTTTAATTAGCCAATTAAAAAATATGGGTCAGAACTTCCATAAATATAAATTGCTATAAACACAAATTCATAGCACATTAGGTTTTGATTGTTTGCGGTTTGTTAAAGTCATATTTAAGGCTTAGAACGCTATTTATATCAACCCAAAACATATTCTCTATAGCCTAAAATTCAATTTGCAAGTGTAGAGGTATTTACCTTGGTGGTTAATTTCAAGTCTTAGGGCGATTTTAATGGCTTTAAACTTCTTTTGGGTTTGAAACTTAATTTTTAATTAATTTCTAGCTTAAATTTCAAGTGATTTGGTGTTTATTTGATCTATCATTTAGTGAACTCTAATTCACATTATATAATTGATCTAGAATTAATATATATATATATATATATATATATATATATATAACTGAATGTTTTAAGTGACTTGGAGCTGATTTGGATCAAAAATTAAAATAGTTTAATTACATAAGTTTTTAATTCAAGTTAATGGGTTGATTTTATAAAAATCATAAATAAAGAAAAATCAAATAAAAATTAAATTGATTTCATCAAGAAATTAAATTTAGAATTTATAAAAAATTAGGCAATTAAAATCTCAAATAAATATAAAAGTTAAAATTTGGTCAATTAAACTAAAAAAAGAAAATAATAATAATAATAATACAAATTGTTTTAAAGTTCAGTTAGAGAATGTATCGTATGTGTTTGATAAAAGCCCACTGGATATAGAATCGTAGTATAAAAGTTAATAACAACGAGGATAGAATACAAATTGCTCGGGAAGATAATTTAAATATATCTGCCATAGGAGGTTAAGGATGTACATGGGAAAATATAACCTTAATTCCACTATCCCATAATGATGTAAAAGGCTAATAGTAAAAGCATTTCCTGCTTTAAAACCTGATTGTAAAGACAACATTTTTATACTCTCAACCAACAAAATAAAAGAAACTGATGTAATCCTTAGTGACCCACCCATTCATGGATGAAATAATAGAATTACCTTTTGACGGGTGTTTTTTTTTTTTTTAATTTTTAAATTTTATTATTATTATTATTATTATGGTGCTTAAATTGTAGAAGTAAATTTGCTAAGCAGGGTTTAACACCATCAAATTATACAAGAGGTGAAGCTCAACAAATTGAGCATTTGTTGAGTACTAAATACTATAAATATACATAAAGATTAAATGTTAACTTTGATACCATATGTCGATTTGATGTTGATAAGTATTTCTGTCATTTCAAATAATTTAGAATATGACGGTCTCTTTATAGTGAATTTTAAATCTTTTAATGAACTATTTTTTAAGAATTTTAGATGATCTTGATGACTCTCAAGTTAAGAATTTATAAATTAAGAGAAATAAATATGGGCAATGATGAAGATTATTATTTGATCTTCATAAGTTCTTCATTGAAAGAAAACAAGGCAAATAAAATGATTGAATTACTTTTAGAAATCGAAGGTTATTTTGCTTAGAGTTTTAAAGGAATTCCTAGATTATCTCTAGTCATTGCAATCCACAAATTATAAATTCAACTTGAATTAGTATTTAAAAATTAGTATTTAAAAATTTCTCTTAATAAAATCATAAACACAACCAAATAATTACCATAGAAATTAAAGTGTGGAAATTAAATAAATAAAAATAATAAGAAAGAACACACCAGATTTTATAATGGTTCAGTCAACTTAACCTATGTCTACTCCTTGAAGCCTCTTCTTCAGGTATTGCACTAAACTTAATGTCTCTCCTTTTTCCCCCGCCATAATGCAGAGAAGCCCATACAAAAACTTCTTTCCACTGACCCCGGTGAGGGAGAGAACCCAACTCCTTTTGATTCTTCCTGAAGCAGGCAGAAAACCTAACTCCTTTTGCTTCCTCCTGAAGTAGGCATAGAACCTCGTTCAGTTGCCGAAGTAGACCTTTCTTGAACCTCCAAGGAACTAGGGGCGATGACTAGATAAGATGAATCAGATCCTTGCTTGGAGCAACCTTTGTGAAACCCCTCATAAAATCTCCCTCATAAGATCCTCTCTCTCTGTCTCCCTTACTCTCCCTCTTCTATTAGCTCTCTCTGGTCAAGATACCAGCAAATGATCTTCTCTTAAGAAAATAAGAGATCTTTTAAATAAGGGCTTCAAATTTGCCCTAATTTGTAAACTAATCGTTAAAGATCATCCAGGATGATCGACTAATCATCCTGTGGGATCAGTTCAAATTTAGCTCAATCAGTAAGGACGATTTAGGATAGTTTGGACAATTAGAAGGATTATTTGTTTAGATTGTCTAGGACGATAATATATCATGCTTTACGATTAGTTCAAGTCATCGAATATCATCCAAACTATCGCCCTGGATGGATGTCTAGATGAAAAAATAACTTGATCATCCAGAATGATCTTACGATTGTGCCGAATGATTAGTTCAAAACATCACATATCATGGAGAACATCACCTTGGATGGGTGTCTGGATGATGAAAAAATAATTAGATTATCAAGGACAATCTCATGATCATATAGGATGATTAGTATAAAACATCACATATCGGCCAGAACATCGCCCTGGAAGAACTAAATTGTCAAGACCAATCTCACGATAATCCAGGATGATGAAGCCATGCTAATTATGGATCATCCAAGAAGAATTAAGATTTGTTTAACTAATCATCCTGGACAATCCTGAGATCATCCAGGATGATATAATCAAGCAGTCAAATCTTAATTACTTTCTTTAATTACCAAACTAATTTAGGCATAATTATAGTGCATCATCCAAGACGATGTCTTGGACGATGCCCTGGATGATGTCCTGGACAATATTCAAAAATAAAACATGCCTAAAAGGTTATGGCGACTGATTCTTTTTGATTTCATCATATCATTCCAAATGATGATAATATCATCTAGGACGATTTGCTTAATCGTAGTTGTCTTAATCAGAATACCCTAACTAGGGTTTCTTTTTTTAACTGATCATCCAAGATGATTTAGGATCGTCCTAGATGATGTGATTGAAAATAGAAAACTCTAAAATAATTTGAATTTTTCCCCTAAGTGTGTATGTGTAAGATTACTTAGCATTAGGACCCACATTATTATAATGGACTCAAGAAAAGGTAAAAGACACTTGACATACATTATAAGTTGACTCAGTCCTAATCTATCCAATCTTGAACCGGTTCGATTTGCAATTTGATTGCGTGGACCTAAAATATTAGTAGGAAAGGAAGCCATAGAAAAATAAAAGTAATAGAAATGTTTTCTATCATCAGACTTATAATTCCTGAAACCAGATTCGCAATAGGAGTGTGTTGTAAGGATGCTAAAGATTGTAGCTTCCATTTCAAGGGTCAACATACTGATGTATGGGTGCATTCATAATTATTTAGATGCTTGAATGATATGCATTGGGTTAAAATATTCTTAGGTTTTATTTAATATGATTTACTAACTAAATATGCAAGTGTATATATTGATCAAGTAATAAAGTCATATGAGAGAGTGTCGATCCCATAAGAAAGTGTTATGCTATAATTCATTTTTTTAATTTATTGTCTATTCTAGCTACAATGTTTATTCTACCAACCAAAAATAAGGATTTTGGATTTTATCTCTAGTTAAATATGTAGCATAAATAAAAAAAATACTAGATGATTAAATGCTTTGGACTAATAACTATAAATTACCTATGTTTTTCTAAGTAGACTCTTATATATTTGATGTGGAATCTCTGTCAAGCTTGCAGGAATTTAAAGTGAGGTTTATGGCCTTTATATAATTATTATAGCTCCATCGAACCTAGAACACAAAACATCTTATGCCTAAGATTGCAAGAGTTCAATTTTAATTCTCCTAATTATTCTAACATTCCTCTGTCAAGAAAATATATCTCAATAAATTTTAACTACACAGATGACCATTATATACATTAGATTAATAATGGGAGATGTTGAAAACATCCATTAATTCTTTTTTTTAAAAAAATTTGCATTGAAAGGATCAAAGAAAACTACTTACAATTGATAAAAGGGTAGCCATCCTTCTTGATCAAATTCATCAAGGTGGACGGTATACTACCAAAAGAAGAACTATCAAACAAAAAATTGCCATCTAATGCCAAAGTAGCACAAAAATCAGCTACTTTGTTACAATTCCTACTAACATGATGAAAAACAACTTTATTAAAATCATTGAGAAAGTAAAGCTTGTTACCCAAGCTCTCCTCTAAATGCCAATTGGTCTTCTTCATAGATTGTTGAATGTACTTAATCACATTGAAGTTGTCACTTTCAATGATGACACCAACACTTTCAAGCATCCATCCTTGAATGAAATCTCGAAGAACAAAAATAGATTCCAATTCCAATTGAGCAATGTCCCAATGCAAAGAATTCCTTCCAAAAGCAAGGAGCACTCTACCTTTACAATCTCTGAAGATGCCACCAATACCAGCCCAGTAATTAGAGAGAAATGAAGAGTCAACATTAACCTTGATCCAATCTAGCGGAGGAGGGTGCCAAGAATTCAAATACTCCCAAGAGAGGTTAGCACCCCAGCTATCTAGAAAAGGATGAAGATTAGAAGAAGCAAAAGAGATAACATTTGCAGCAGCCATAGAAGCAGACATTGTAGATTTCCCATGCTTGACCAGGTTACGGTTTTTCCAAGTCCAAAAAACTGTGGTGCAATACAATCTAACCAGTCCTGGATTGCTGCTACATTACCGTCTAAGTTCCACCAAACATTCTTCAAAAGAATGAAAAATGCTTATAGCAAATCCCCACTCTCTGATTTTGGAAATAATTTCAGTAAAAAACTTGCATCGAACCACAATATGTTCATAATTCTCAGCCTCACAGTAGCCTTTAACACAAGAATCATTAATAGCCAATCTTCTGAATTTAAGGAAAGAGTTAGTTGGAATAGCAAACTTACTTAGCCTCCACCAAAACAATTCTACCTTAAAGTTGAGTTTAAGCTTCTTAAGCAAATCATAAAAACCATCATCAACAACATTGTATCTCTTATTCATTACAGCTTCAAAAGCTAAAGCTAAAATAGAATATCTCGTCAGCTTCTTAACTGGTTCCAGCATATCCCTTCCACCGTCTCTGTCCACTTTTACTTGCTTGATTAGCCAAGCCAAATCCTCATGAAAAAACAATCTCAATTTCATCTCATCCCATCTTCCATCATTAGTTTATAGCTGCTGCACTTTCAAACCTTCTAAATCAACACAATTGATAAAAGTAGGCCAAGAGTTAAAGCTTCTGTCAAGAACCCAGATGTCACCGAGAACATCAATTTCATTGCCATTGCACACTCTCCATTCAACAACATCCTTAAGATACTTACCTCCCTCTAACATAATCTTCCAAGCATTAGAAGAATTATGTTTATAGATTCCATCCAGAATGTTATCAGAATATTTGGCATTAAGAGAACGGTGTAACAAAGAACCGGGATTTTGAATGTAATTCAAAGCAAGTCTAGCTTTCAATGTACCACTCTTAATGATACACGACTGTAAACCAAGACCACCAGCACTTCTAGTCTTACATAATTCATTCTAAGCAACATAGTGTAATCCTCTCTCCCCATTTGATTTGTGCCAAACAAAATTCCTGCACAGCTTCTCAATCTCCTGCAACACTTTTTTAGGAACCACCAAATGCATAATGACAAAATTTGGCAATGTTAATAATGAGGATTTTAAAAGCACAATTCTTCCTCCCAAAGATAAATTTTTCTTTCCCCAAACATTTAATTTCTCCATAACCTGGGCCAAAAGGTCTTGAAAATCAGCCACCTTTAATCTTTTAAGAGACATTTTTATACCCAAATATTTCCAATAATTGACAGACTTAAAACTGAGAATTCTGGTAAGTTTCTTCTTGTTGGCTCTATCAACAGCTTTACCAAAAAGGATTTGAGACTTGTTAGAATTCACCCTAAAACCCGTCCACTTACAAAAGTCCTCAATGATTTTCATCATTTTCCTAGCCAGCCCACATGTTGCTTGAGAGAAGATAAGAACGTCATCAGCATAAAGTAAATGAGTTATTCTAGGTCCCTTAGAAGCCATCTGAATACCCAAACTATGACCCCTTTGTACTATAGCATTAGAAAGGAGTTGAGCACACATAATGAACAAATAAGGTGACAATGGACAACCTTGACGAAATCCACTGCAGGCTTCAATCCATCTGAGCTTCTTCCCATTCAGGATAATAGCAAACCTCACATTCAACACACACTCCATAACAAAACCAGAAAAACCCAAAGGAAATCCATACCATACAAGAATTTGCTGTAAAGCACTCCACCCCATGCTGTCATAATCTTGTTCTATATCAAGCTTAACTGCCATTAAACCCTTCTTATTTCTTGAGGTTTTAAACTTATGGAAAATCTATTGAGTAAGAATGCAATGCTCGGACATTGATCTCCCTGGAATGAAAGCAAGCTGCTCCTCAGAAATCATCTTATACATGAGAGTATTGAGTCTATTCGCAAGCATAGAGGCAACAATCTTGTATGTAGTTTGACAAAGGCTAATAGGTCAAAAATTTGAAGGGACATTCAGATTATTAACCTTGGGGATTAACACAATCAATGTGTCTTTCCAATTCTTATGCATAATACCAGTGCTAAAAAACTTTTTGATTGCTAACCAAGTTGTTTCTCCAACAATGTTCCAGTAGCTCTTAAAGAAAGAAGAAGTGACACCGTCAGCCCCTGGAGATTTGTTGTTACCCTGCTGGAAAACAGCCACCCTGCACTCTTCCATAACAAATTCCGTGTTCAACATCTTCCTATCCAGCTCACTGAGTCTCTGTGATGCTTCAATCTCCGGCCAATCCTTAGAATACAACTACTGTGTTTCCATTTCTCTTAAAAGAAATGCAGAAAAATCTGCTCAATCTGCTCTTCCTCATCCACAATCCGATTGTCCCCATTTTTAATAGCTTAATCAGGTTTGCACTCCTTTTAGCAGAAGCAAAATTATGAAAGAAAGCAGAATTCATATCTCCTTCCTCAATCCACCTAGTCTTGGCTCTTTGGTTCCACCAAGTTGCAAGTCTCTTCAAAGTAACATTTAATTCACATGCCTTCTGCCTAAGAAGACACATGTCATCAACCGAGAAATCAACATCAGACATCTCTTTGGTTTGTAAGTCAAGAATATCCTTCTTCAACTCATCTCTAAGCTTTCACAGGTCAATGCATTTATTCCTATTCCAAAAGAATAGGGCCATCAAAGTCCTTTTAATCTTTCTATGAAGAATCTCCACCTCATCTCCAAAGTCCTTTTTCAACCAAGATTTGTGAACAATACCTCTTGCAGCTGGATAGGATCTCCAAGTGTCCTCAAATCTGAAATGTTTCTCCTTCGTAGAATGCCAAGCTTCCATCCTATATATAATCGGATAATGATCCGACGCCATGCGAGCTAGATGTCTAGCTCTACCAGCAGGAACCAATTGTAAAGAGGCTGAATTTACCAAACATCTATCAAGCCTCTCCCAAATCCTTGAGGAACCATCTTTATTATTACACCAAGTATAACTTGGTCCAATAAAACCTGCATGAAAAAAAATCTGAATTAGTCATAAAACTTTTCATCTCTCTAGGCCCCCTAGAGAAGATGAATATCTTCCCACCCTTCTTCTCTTCCTTCTTAAGAATACAATTAAAGTCTCCCCCCACTAAAGAAGGACCCGGGCCTATCATGTTCTTCTCAAGTATACTCCAAAGATCCCTTCTCTCCACACAACATCTACTCCCATAAACTGTTGCCACTTTCCAGTCTCCAATTAAAGGAGTAGAAAGAACTCCAATAACAGCTTGAGACGAACTTTCTTGAACAACAAAAGAAACTTTGTTTCTGTTCCAAATATTCAGAATACCTCCAGACAATCCCACTACAGGGAGATGAAAAAAGTCCCAATCTCTCCCAATAAGGCAATCTACATCACTTCTATCAATGTTATAGAGCTTAGTTTTCATAATCCCAATAAAAACCACCTCATGATCCCTAACAACTTCCTTCAAGTACAGCGAAGCCTCTCTCTTTCTAGCTCCCCTGCAGTTCCAAAACAACAAAGTCAACATTAATCAGCAAGAGGGGAACTGTCCCGCAAATAGAATTGCCCTTCCCATCCCTTCTCTTCTTTCTATGCTCAGGCTCAACCGGACCCAAAGATCTTAATTCCTTAGCCAACTTAACCTTAATCGAATTAATGTTGAGTACCCCAGTAGACATCTGATCACTCACATTACCTTCTAACAATCTTGAATCCTCAGATTTTCCTCCAAAGTGTTGATTCATCACTTCTCCCTCTTCAACCTCATCAACCTCATTCATAAGAATCTGGAACTTATTTTCCACTTCAACATTAACCTCTTTATCTTTGTTATTGTTAGCCACAACAGAGCCCGCTACCTCCTGATAATCTTACTGAACTCTAACAGAAATTGCTTCCAATTTCTCATGATGATCTGCCATCACTACTTTGTTGTTTACTATCTGCTCCATTCTTGTAGATATACCTTCTCTACTAGCTCTGTTATTTCTATACATTCTATTCTTGAAACGAACATGAATCCATGGACCATAATCTGGTTCTGAAAGTTTCTCAACTGCGGGAATACTAACCACAGTTTCCTGCTTGTTGATCACCTTAGTAGCCGCTTCAACCTTTTTAATCTCAGGACATAAAACCTTGTCATGTCCCACCTTCCCACAATGCAAACAGAGCATATCAATCTTCTCATATTCAACTTGCTGAAAGAATCTTCCAGCAATGCCATCAATCCATACACCCTTAGGAAGGCTATTTTCAAGATTCAATCTTATACAAACCCGAGAAAACTCACGTTTTCCCCATCTAAAAGAGTTTCCATCCACGTACATAGGTACTCCTATCCTAGATGCAATACGGACAATTTTCTATTCGTCCCAACAGTAGAGAGGCAAACAGGGGAGACGAATCCAGACAGGAGCAGTGATCTCCTTGAAAGAATTGGGATTGAAAGATGTCGTCCATTTGTCCATTCCCATAATGTACCCTCCAACATACCATGGACCACCATTGAGAACATCATCCATAGCCTCCTCGCTTTTGAAAGAGCAAAGAATCCAGTTCATACCCAGCGACGTCATATGGAAATTACCAAATTTGTTCCACTGTCTTCTCAATTCAACACTACACATGGGAAATGAAATCATATTGCCCAGGACTTTAACAACCAGCGAGAACTTTAAAACATTGGAATTCATAATCTCCTTTTCCGCATTTAACTTGACTGTAACTCCATCATCCGACATTTCAACTAAGTCGTTGTTGAAAGAAAGCCTGATATGCTGCGGTTTCTTCCACGCTTCCACAAATTCATCCTTCGGATTTCCATTTTCACCATTTCCATCCTTATTAACACATCTCTACACAGAATCAACATCAATAGGTACTTCTTGATCCAGAGTCTCAATATCGGTCGTTAAATTCCGACTCATAACAATCTCCTTGTTGCAAAGAGACTTGATAACTCTCAAGACTAATCCCGCTGATGAAGACGTCTGCAGATTCAAATTCTCAGATGCTAACAATGGTCTAGTATTGACAACGATTCCACCATTCGCACGCTCAAGTAAAGGTTTCTTACCTTTACCTTCAGGATTCAAATCTTGACGAGGCAGAGGCCAAAATCCCTCTCTAATCACAACACCCTTATTCACCACACGATCAGATCCAGTCGATCATCCAGAAGCCATAACAACACCGGAAGAAGGCTAGAAAACCTTCCTCCGATCAACGATCTTCAAACCCGCCATCAGGAATTGCCTGCGAAAATTCGAAATAGGCGAACTTTCTCTCTCTAGAAAATCGCTAGAGCTTCTCTCTCTAAGTATCAATTAAATTCCTTCTGTCACAAGATTCTACATTAGTACTAAGAAATGGTTCACACCATTAGCCCAAAACTAAAGAATTAGCAAGCCATATAATTAAAATAAAAGAATATAGAATTCACTGATTGCATAAACCACATATGACCTTGGAAGATCAAGATGCGATTTGTTCTAATTTCTAACCACGATATTCTAAGTAGGCTATCATTAATCTCATGCCAAGAATCATATGAATAAATGATATATCTCACCTATGGAAGAAGATACCCCTAATTGATAATTATTCGGGCACGATGATAGCGATCGTCGTTGATTGAATTTTTTCCAAAGAGAACTATTTAAAGTTTTGATAATTTATTTTGGGAAATTTGGAACTAAATTTAAATTTAAATTCTAAAGTCGAACAAACCATTTAGAGATGATATACCACCTCAAAAGGTGGAGATAAAATCTCATAACGGGTCAAATTCTGAACTATAGATTTTCTCTAGGGTATCGTAGCCTGATTTTAGGGAGAACCACATACGACCCCAGGAAGATCAAAATGAGGTTCAATCTAAAATAAGACCATGATGATCAAGAGAAGAAGATCATTAATTTCATATTTGGATTGATGTTAACACATGATGAATCTCTTTGAAGAAAGAGAATATCATATGTTAACAATCATATAACTATGATAATAACGATCGTTATGAAGTAGAATTCCCAAAAGAAATATCAAGTGAGTTTCAAAAATTAATTTTGAAAACCAAAGCAAGTTCTAAATTTCCTACGAGCGCAAGCCCTCGTAGCTAATTACATAGTAGGAAGATAAAGTCTCATACAAAAACTCTTGATGGTGAAATTTTATTAAATATTTTCTAAAAGTGAATCAAAGGAATTAAGTTTTGGAATTTCAAAGTGAATGAATCAAAATTGAGCACTTATTAACAAAACCAAGTGAAGAAAAGTAGGAGACTCTTTAAGATTCCATAACCCTTCGGAAGTGCCCCAACATAATCGAAGTGTTGGGCTTTATGTTTTGGATTGAAAGAAGATTTAGTTTTAGTTGAATGTTTTATTAAAAATTTGGGATTATATTCTTAAGGGTTGGGGTCTAATAATCTAAGATTTGCCCCAAATCCTAAATCTAAATTTGGACACTAGATTACAGTTGTCTGAATCTAACTAATGCAGTGCAAAAATCATGACTTACCCTGGCATGGATTGGGGAGCGAGCTAGCCACCTAGTCAATTTAAAATAGTTGAGTTTGGTCATTTTTATGATAGAGTGGTAGGGGCATTTTTATTAAAGTTTTGGAGAGTTGGGGTCGACATCTAGAGATTGTCCTAAGTGGCCCCTTAATTATGTTGGTTAAAAATGTTAATGATAAATGCAATTAAAGCTTAGACTCCTTTAAATGTGTTTCTAATGCAATGCATGCTAGTTGACACATCCAAATTATATATGCTTAAATTTTTTGAAAAAGTCTTTAAAATAGTTTTTTTTAGAAGACTAGACTCTACCCACAGGCAGGGAAGTGACTAAAATAAGGAAAGAAGAAATGCAAAAATATGCATGTGACCCTAGGGAGATCCCTGGCTAATTCCCTAGATTTGTTATCTTTCTAGATTAAGTAACTCCTAAATTTTTAAACTTTTAGTTATATTTATAAAACTTTTCACACCCTCATGAGCCTCATGTATCTAGGCTAAAATAAGAGTGATACATAAATGTCAAAAAAACTAAGAAAAATAGGTAATTCTATATGCAATCACATCAACACATGAAATATAAATGAATTAATTAATAAATGTCAATAGGCAAATTACCTTGCTTATTAAAACCCAGGATCTAGAGAAAGTAAAGCGGTCGGGCACCACTGATAATAACCTAGATTCTAATCCTAATAAAGATGTAAGTGATTTTGAGTGGGATACTCTTCGTCTTTAATTCTTCAATCTTCTTCTCCTTCAAGCTCCTTGGATCCTTCATAGCAGGCTACCCAAATTGAAAAGAGGGCTCTTCCTTTAAGGGGAAGGCCACTCTTTTCACTTTAGGTGTGAAAAGATGATCTAAATTTAGACTTCCAAATAGAAAAGGGATATCCCCCTTAGGGGTATCCTTTTCTCTTTAGAATCCAAGCTTTAGATTTATGTATTCCAACTCAAAATACAAATTTCACAACAATTAATATTTTACACAAATTATATTTGATATGAAATAAAAATTATAGACTCTCCTGTAAGTTTATCCTAAGCATTTAGTAAATAAGAATATATACCAAATAGTTATATATATGTGCAGAAAAATAAATAAACACATTAGCCATGCTCTTTTTATTACTTGAGGGCTTAGCAGCTGAAGCACCTGCAACAAGCACATTTATTATTAATTTTTATTTAGCTCTCTTTTTGTTGTCTTGCATGAGCATAGCCACATGTAGAAAACTCAGTGAACATCCATATTGTTCCTATCCTAAGGTTAATCTAGTTGCCAAACACATCAATCATCCATAGAGTGTAATTAAAGTAAGCAAACATAGCAGACAATTTAATCCACAACATGCAGTAAAATTTCAAAAAATCTGGCACACAACAGAAAATTAAATATCGGCCTTGCCTAGATTTAGAGTCAGTTATCCTAGCAAACTATCTAAAGTGTATGTAGAAGGTCGGGTGGCTAGGATAGGTCCTAGGCTGGGTAATTAATTAGAGTTGTCTAAGGTTTGAATTTGTTAATGCTTAAAGGGAAGTTTATGTTGGAGTTTAAGTATTAACATGTTAAAAATTAATTTTGATATATTTTAAAGGTTAAATGATTACTATCTTTGTTTCAAACTGAGGCTATGAATTTTATTTTATCTTCCTTGGGGCTAAGCTAATAGCCTCGTAGGCTTGGATTACCTAGTAGTAATTGAGGTTGATTTAATAGGTTATGATTAAAGGTGGAATTATATTTAATGTTTTGATTATTGACTGATTTTAGAGGGTTGGTTGATTATTTTATTAATCAAGTCAGAAAATTTTGAAATTTTAATAAATTATTGGATTTATGAATTATCTAAATGTGTTAATTATGAGGTTAAAAGTTGACTTTTAAAATTAAAGTTAATCCTAAAGGTTTCAAATTTTTAATAAATATTAGACCTAACGATGAGTTGTTATACTATTATCATTCTCAATTCGAAGTTTTATGAAAAGTTATGAATTTCTGAAGTTTTAACCCGATTTTGACCTAAGTTTGATTAAATTGTTGACTTTTTGATCAGATTTTGGAGGTTTGATATTTTTAGAAAATAATAGATTTTAATTAGAGTCATTAGCCATTGAGTTTGATTGATTTATAATTTTCTATAATTAGTTATGATGTTATGAAATTTAGGTATTTATTGAATTTTTTAATTGTTATAATTAAGAGGCCCTTTTAATGATTTGAGCCCAAACAAGTTCCAAACTCCTTGAAATCACCTCCAAAGCTTAGAAAAGATCTATGGAGAGATCAGCAAGTGTTTAAGAAATTTTTGAAATTTTTTTAATTATTTTTAATTAATTAAATTAATTAAATATTAATTTTCACTTAAATTATATTAAGGTTATACTTGATGTCAAATTAAAGGAGTTTTAATTTTAACTGATTAAGGGTTGAATTATGGTCAATTAGAGGTATTATAGGAATTTTTTGAATTTAAAATTGATTTATTAGAATTTAATAAGGCTAGAGGATTAATTAAGGGATTAATCTTAAGTAAATTAATTAGGAAGCCTAATGATTTCTAAAAATTAGTGAGATAATCTCTATAGAGGGGTGATATTACTAAGTTTATTTGGTCAAAATCTCAAGCCAAGAGAACATATACCCTAATTGTCATAAATTTTCTAAATTTTCTACACAAGTCCTTAATTTTAGTCGTTAAGGGTGTCACTAAGTTGTATGGAATTGAATCAAGGTTACTAACCCTTACATATCACATATATAAATACACAAGCATAGCACTCAAGTCCTTACTAGAGCTCAATCTTTC